CTAATAAACAGAGAGAGTCGGAGAATTTAATAAGCTGAAGAGAGTGCAACAAAGTTTGATGCAAGGCTCACATAAATTGACGAATAATACTATGTGTACTAATCCAAGTACTTGACATTGAAAATTTGAAAATTTTCCTTAAAAAAATTCAAATTTTCAATGTTAGTACTTGGATTAGTACAAATTGGTTAGTGCACATAGCATTACTCTAAATTAACTATCATGCCCTTCTTCAGAACAAATTTCCTAACGAAACATACCGGTGGGTGAGAAATTATCATTTTAAAACTTAATGGGTGGGAAAAATTATTTCGCTAAACCTTGGGTGGGAAAATGTTGTTCTCCCCTTTAAATTTTGTTGAAAGTACCCAACATGCACACGTATAAATAGTTTTTATATTAAAGTGCGGCAATATTTGCCGTGTCAGCTTCTCGTTGACTTTTGGACAGGAAATGAAGGAAACAACTTTAGACATTCACGATGACTAGATCTACGATTATGGAAAATGGGGTTACATCTAGCATAACATTTTTGTCCATTATTTTCTGAAGCAGTTCAACCACTTTAGTTGCCTTATCATTTTGTAAGAAATCTTGCATAAGAGTGTTATATGTAATCACATCTAGAGCACATATTTTTTCCCATATCTAATAACAAATTATACGCCTTCTCTACTTTAATTATCATTATGATCGCAAACGGACACGGGACAAGAGGTCTGTATTGTATATGCTAATACTGTCATTTTGGCCTAGCCTAGCTTCTTTGGACGAGACTGCAATCCGTCCAAGAAATACAATAGCATCGGGTTCCATTGGAGGTAATATTACTTGCACTCTAACTAGATGAGAAATATGAGTTGATTTTGTGTTGATATTTGCATCTGCTGAAGGTGTCTTCAAACTTTATGGAGGTCTTACACTAGTAAGACTGCATTCTCTTGTCATATCTGGATGAATTTTGAGAATCTTCTTCTATTAAAATGAGCATCATTTTGTCAAACTTATTTTTCCATTTGATATGAAATCTAGTAAGAGTAATTCTATGCATACTCACGGATCTTACTAACCATCTTACTTACCTTCGTTAAAATTACATATGGTTCCCGTACTATGTTTATGATATCCATATTATGTTTTATATTTACAAAGATTAGTAAGATGGTTAGTAAGATCCGTGAGTACGTATAGTATTATTGTTATGCAAAAGCATTACCATTTGCTCCCATGCTCAATTTCACCCTCGAAGAGAGAAAAAAACTTTCATCAATGCATGTAGTATTAATTTGTTTCATGATTTAGTTCCTAAATAATTTGGTCCAGTTGGTTATATTTTCGCCTGATGCAATTTAGTCTTTTGATTAAAGAGTAATTTTAGGTACATAACTCAATTTCATAATTTTTTCTTACAATCCTCTTATATTTTCGCCTGATGCTCAATTGGCTTGACCATTACTACTCAGCAATTTAGCCTTTTGATTAAAGAGTAATATTAGGTTCATAACTCAATTTCATAATTTTTTCTTAAAATCCTTTTGTGGTTTGCAACTATTCAGCTTGTAAATGGGTTTCATTTGCTTGTTATAAGTCTCGTTTATCCATTTGCGAGTTGATATATCAGGATTATGAGATTAGGTTATCAACCTAACCTTACGATTGATTAAATGAGTTAAATGAGTAAGAATTTTCTTGATTTCTAAGACCATCTCTAAGACTCTAACCCATTGCACCAAATTGGTGCAAGTTTTGCACCAAATTAGTGTGATTTTTGGTGTAAAACACTATTGCATCTCCAACCCACTGCATCAAATATTACACCAAAAAGAATATTCCTCAGAATATTCTAATATTTTTTTTTCTTTTATTGTAATAATCAACAATTAATCTATTTCACTTATTATTTTTGTATATATTAATTAAATATTGGGAATGATATTTTTATTAAATAATAATTACTTTAAAAATTATACTAATTTAATAAAATTAAGCATTTATTTAATTAAATAAACATTACATTTAATATAGAAAAACATTACATCTAATATAAAATGATACCAAAAAATAATAATAATAATAAAAACAACAACAACACAAAAGTAAAATTCCATATTGATAGTAATTTAATTTTCCGAACTAGTATGTTCTTCCCACAAATGATCAATTAATGCATTTCGAAGAGCATGGTGAGCCTCTGTATCCTTGATTTGTCTATGTCGAGCAAGAAAATTTTGAAATCGAACATTTTCATCTACGACAATTTCAACTTCGGGAGTTAGCGCTTCCATCTGATTCTCAATCAATGCATCAACATTACGATCATCCTCGATTATCATGTTGTGCATAATAATACACACAGTCATTATATCATGTAATATATTTTTATCCATTCAAACTTTTTAGGTTTAGTGTTTCTAAATTAGTGTTAATTTTTATTTTGAATTATTGTAATTTAATATTTGCATTGAATAAAGTTTTGTTTTTAATTTTTCATTATTTTTTGAATTATATCATTATTATGAATTTATTATTATTAAAAAAATTGGCTAAATGAACAGTATCACACCAATTTGGTGTGGGTGAACAGTGCCACACCAAATTTGGCGTGGCATTGTTCATCTGCACCAAATTGGTGCAGCAAATGGCGCTGCATTGGAGCAGCATTTCACGCCATTTTGGTGTTTTTTTACACCAAAATGCATGGATTGGAGATGCCCTAAGATGATTGAATCACCGAATTAAAGTTATTATCATCAAAAGGTTTCACAAAACAATAATACTATGCGTACTAACGAATTTTATTAACCAACATACTAACTTAAAGCATAGTACGGATACCATACGCATAGTACGGATACTATATGTAATTTTAACAAAAGTTAATACGCTGATTAGTAAAATTCGTTAGTACGCATAGTATTACCCTTTGCATAATCTTTACAACTTAAATAGTTTACAACAGTGCTATGTTTGTTAAACTGCCAGCAGCAGGTGCACAAAGGGCAATGTGCAGAAAATAAACTTATAGTTGGGTGACCAATTTCATAAATTCACCCTCCTAATAAATACAAATCTCAAACTTAGAAGAAAACATTTCTCTACTGTGTAGTGAGGAATCGAGAAGAAAAAGAAACAAAACCCTGACCGATACAAGATGAGCCGTGTCAGCCCTGTAATAGGGGATTGTTCAAACAATTAATCTTGAGATGGCATATATATAGCAATTCAGTTAGCAATACTTCGGATTTTTTCGGTGAATTTTGTCGTTGCAGGATTTTTTTTTTTTTTTTTTTTCCATGGAACTAATAGAGGTATCCAACTAGCAGTTGCAGTAGAAGTCACTAAGTTTACAAACTGAAGTCAAAATTGCATTGATATCAACAAGAATTGGTTGCTTTGCACATCCTTTCAGATCATAGTAAGTTGAACAATCTTTCAAGCTTTCCAAAAACAAAGAAAACAGAAAGCACAATCATCATGTAACATTTTTGCAGCAAAAATGTTTTCTTTATTATTGTACATTAATAAGTAGAACACAACATCATTATTTACACTTTGTGAAGCTCTTCAAGCTCGAATCAGCAGGTTGGTTGCCCAGTCTGCAGCATTCTCTTTATTATAAGGCACATTGTGTGCAGAGCTCCTGATCACAACCTTTACTATTATGTATCATTGTCTCCGCTATGGAAGGATTTGACCTTGAATCAGAAAAAATAAACAATCCTAACATACAAAGAGATCAAAGATAACAACTTCTGAATTCAATTGTTAGATAACAGAGATTGAAAAACAGGTCAAAGATAACATCATGAATGTTGAAAATAATACATGTAACTAGACAGTTAAAACCTTCTGTTTTCCTTTTTCTTCGGAGTTGATCATTGTAATTTTGATCAACCATATCTATGTTGCATTAAAATTTCCATCAGATTTACACAAATCTAATCTGAACCACCACCAGCATCGCCAATTCTAATGTTACCACCGATTAGAGCCATCAATAATATCACTGCCATCACCAAAAATCAGAACTGCTACTTAGCTTACTCAACGCCACAACCAATGTACTGTCTTCGACAAAACTAAAATAACACACGCCACCTTTATCGTGTTCTAGTTATTTGATTCCCACAACACGAGCAGTTAATTCACCTCCATCACTCACTACCATGTTATCAAAGCCCAAACTTTTGTGCTTGCATATGTGCATATGAGAGATCCAAAAACACTTTATTCTCCCCAGCTCTTTCATCAGCTGAGCTTTGTTGGATGCCCATTCTGCAGCATTCTCTTTATTATATCCATCCCGAAAGCAGAATCCACTGAACTGTTAAGGAGTAATTTCTCATAACACAAAGGCAACACATGCATCAACAACAATTTATCTTGCTACCTCAATTCAACAAGGAGAACGGATTATTTGGTTGATGGCATAAACAGAGAAAGCAGTAAAACAGATTACTATCATTTGCATTATACACTATATTCTTTCATTTGCCCTTTTTCTTAAATAAATTACATACAATTTCAGCTAACTTATTACTATGGGTGGGGAAAGGTTCCACATCTAATCAGAAGGTTGTGAATTCAGATTTCTTAATCATATGCAACCAATCAACCGTGTTCAGAGTTCAGACTTACTAGTTATATGCAAATAGAGAAAAGCCAATTATAAGAAAAGAAGATAACAAAATTAAACCAAAGAAGATGCATATATATTAAAAGATGATCTAGGATTACCATTTACTAAGAGTTTAAATATAAAAAATATGTCAAATATGCTTACATGCAGCTTGTAATAACAAAACATGTCTTTCGTAGCTTCCCTTCTTCACAAAACCCATGGATGAAGATGGAATATGTCACAACATCTGGCAGGCCTTTTTGAGGCAATTTGTGAAATATCTCCAAAGCAATTTCAATCATTTCATTTTTACACAACCCATCAATGAGGCTGTCAATTTTAAATTTGTAGTTCTCCAAGTACAAAACAATTTTGCTACTTCCAGAACACTGCCATTCTTGCATATCCCATCAACCAAAATATTATATGTAACTGAATCAGGTGCGACATTATAAAGTTTCATCTCATCAAACAGTTTCCACGCATCTCCAACTATATTTGATAGAAAAAGACTGGTTAACAAAGTGTTATATGTAAACACTGTTTGTTTAATTCCCTTTGAAATCATTTCCTTGTAAAGACTCATAGCATTCTCTGATTCCCAAATCTCTTTGGATCATCAATTCCAACAACCAATTAGCTTCCTCTATCTTCCCCTCCTTGCAAAACCCACTTATCATTGTATTATACGTCAGTAAATTAGGCTGCAAACCTTGATCTGCCATCTCAACAAACAAACCTTTAGCCTCCTCCAAATTTCCCACAAAACACCAACCATAAATTAGAGAGTTAAAAACAACTACATCTGGCTTAATTCTCTTCCCCTTCATTTCCAAAAACAATTCTTTTGCCTTATCAACCAACTCATCTTTGCAAAGACCATCTATCATACTACCATAAGAAACAATATCAGGCTTACAGATAACACCCCCTTCACCATTACCAGCAACCATTTCTTCATGCAATCTAAGCGCAACACTAGTGTTCCCTGTCTGACACAACCCCTTAATCAATGTCCAATATGTAATCGCGTTAGGCCTGACCCCAAACACAGCCATTTTCTTGAACAACTCCATAGCCTCCAAACTCCTTTTCTCTAAACACAAAACTTTAATCAAAGAAGTGAAAGTCACAACATCTGGTCTTAAACCCCGCCTCAAAATCAGCCCAAAAACAACAAAACCATAAGGCTTACAACCCTTACTCTCCATAGAGATTAGCAGCTCCTTTGCATCATTAAATCTATGCAGCAAGCAATAACCATCCATCAAAGTGTTATAAGTAACTATGTTTGGTTGCAAACCTCTTTGAATCATTAATTCTAAAAATCCATTAGCTTCCTCCATCTTCCCCTCCTTGCAAAGCCCACTTATCATTATATTATACGTCACCACGTTAGGCTGAAAACCTCTTTGAATCATTAATTCCAAATACCCATTAGCTTCTTCCATCTTCCCCTCCTTGCAAAGCCCACTTATCATTGTATTATAAGTCATCACATCAGGCTGCAAACCTCTTTGAATCATCAATTCTAACAATCCATTAGCTTCCTCCATCTTCCCCTCCTTGCAAAGCCCACTTATCATTGTATTATACGTCAACACATTAGGCTGCAAACCTCTTTGACTCATCAATTCTAACAATCCATTAGCTTCCTCCATCTTCCCCTCCTTGCAAAGCCCATTTATCATTGTACTAAACGTCACCACATTAGGCTGAAAACCTTGATCCACCATCTCTTCGTGTATCCTAAGTGCAATAGTGGTATTACCTGTTCTACACAACCCGTTAATCAAGGTCCCATAAGTAATCACGTTAGGCCTAACCCCAAACACAACCGTTTTCTTCAGAAACTCCATAGCTCCCGTACCCTATTCTCTAAACACAAACCTTTAATCAAAGAATTAAAAGTCACAGTGTCTGGGTTAAAACCCCGCCTCAAAATCCTCCCAAAAACAACAAAACCATAACAAACTCGACCCACATTACAAAAGCAATTAATCAAAATAGTCAAGGTAATTAAATCTAGCAACAACCCCATTGAATCCACTCGCTTGTAAAGCAAAATAACATCTTCATAAAACTTTTTCTTAGCCAGTGCTCCAAACAACTGGTTGAATGATGAAATTGGTGGTTTTGGTTGCAAATTAATCATGTATTCAAAGAAATATCGTGCTTCATCAACAGTGACATTACCTTCTTTACAATCATTTTGGAGGAATTTCTCAAGCTGGGTTACTTTAAGTACTAAATCTTGTGGTATGGTTGTAGTCGCTTTACCTGGTTTTGTGAATGAAGAAGGAGAAGAAGAAAAACGAAGAATCAAGCTTTTAAGCACCATTTCAGTAGCGCCGTTTGTGCCTTGTGGATGATTGGGGTTCAAACTTCAAACTGGCTTAGTCTTTTTAAGGTAGGGTTTGCTAAACATCAATAACACTACGGACACCGAAAAAGTTACACCGAGTTTTTGTACCGGTCTATTTGTAATGCGCGTCTCAATTTTTTTACAATTTTTTTTCTAGTGAACGGCCATCCATCACATTTGGACGACCATTCATTCACATGGACGATCGTTCATATTATATAGACGGGCGTCCATGTAAAAGGGACCGACTTCCCCATTTAAAGGACGCCTGTCTTTGATTAAAATACAATTAAAAAATTTGTAAAACCTTAGGGACAGCCATCCATCCATTATGGACGACTGTCCATTAATTTTGGACGGGCGTCTACAAATAATGGACACCCGTCCTTCACCTAAATATGAAAAAAAAAAGTTCTTTGGGGATGACCATCCATAAATTTTAGACGGGCACCCATTAAGAATGGACGACCGTCCATTACGTTTGGACGAGCGTCCATCACCCGTCCATACTTAAAAAAAAAAAAAAAAAATTCTAAACAGAAATAGTCTTCTTCTTCGCTCTTCTTCTTCTCGTCATTCCCCATCTCCTCTCTTTTTCTTCGTCTTCATTCCCTATCTCCTCTCTTCTTCTTCGTCTTTGTTTTATAAGATAGGCATGTTGTTTATAAGCTTTCAATTGGCATGGTTGTCGAAAAGAAGTCCATCTTGGCCGTCAGCGACGACCAAAGATATGGCGGTCATTTTTGGTCAACGACTGCCATTTCTTTGGCTGTCGTTGACGGCCAGATTTGTTGTGGATCTGGCCGGAAAATGTCAGATTGGTTAACTTCCGGCCATTTCTGGTCCGCAGGTAGGCCTTGTACAAATTCCGGTCTACCACCGACGGTGGTTGCCGGAATCTGGCAAGTATAGGTTGATGGGGGTGTTTTTGTTAATTTTTAAACTATTTTTCTGGGGTATTTAATGAAATTAATAAGCTTAAGAGGTCTAAATGTAATTAAAAAAATATAGTAATATTTCTGGAATAATGTGCCGAACAATATTTGAGGAATAGGATTGGGAATATGGATAAAAATAATGACCAAATATGACCTTAATTCGGTGATTCAATCATCTTAGGGCATCTCCACCCACGCATTTTGGTGTAAAAAACACCAAAATGGCGTGAAATGCTGCTCCAATGCAGCGCCATTTGCTGCACCAATTTGGTGCAGATGAACAGTGCCACGCCAGATGCTGTTCATTTAGCCAATTTTTTTTATAATAATAAATTCATAATAATGGTATAATTAAAAAAATATGAAAAATTAAAAAACAACTTTATTCAATGCAATTATTAAATTACAATAATTCAAATAAAAATTAACACTAATTTAAAAACACTAAACCTAAAAAGCTTGAATGGTTAAAAATGTATTACATGATATAATGTCTGTGTGTTTATTCACACAAATGATAATCGAGGATGATCGTAATGTTGATGCATATTGAGAATCGATGGAAGCGCCAACTCCCGAAGTTGAAATTGTCGTGATGAAAATTTCCGATTTCAAAATTTTCTTGGTCAACATAGACAAATCAAGGATACAGAGGCTCACTATGCTCTTCGAAATGCATTAATGATCATTTGTGGGAAGAACATACTAATTCGGAAAATTAAATTACTATCAATATAATTTTACTTTTATGTTGTTGTTGTTTTTATTATTATTATTATTAATTTTTTTGGTATTATTTTATATTAGATGTAATGTTTTCTATATTAAATATAATGTTTTATTTATTAAATAATGCTTAATTTTTATAAATTAGTATATTTTCAAAGTAATTATTATTTAATAAAAAATCATTCCTAATATTTAATTAATATATACAAAAATAATGAGTGAAATAGATTAATGGTTGATTATTACAATAAAAGAAAAAATAAATATTCTGAGGAATATTTCTTTTGATGTAATATTTGGTGTAATGGGTTGGAGATGCAATAATTTGGTCCAGTTGGTTATATTTTAGCCTGATGCTCAATTGGCTGACCATTACTATTCGCAATTTAGCATTTAATTAAAGAGTATGGTAGGTTCATAATTCAATTTCATAATTTTTTCTTACAATCCTTTCGTGGTTTGCAACTAGTCAGCTTGTAAATGGGTTTCATCTGCTTGTTATGAGTCTCGTTATCCATTTGCGAGCTGATATATTAGGATTTTGAGATTGGGTTATCAACCTAACCCAATAAGAAAAATAAACAATCCTACATACAAAGAGATCAAAGATAACAACTTCTAATTCAATTGTCAGATAACAGAGATTGAAAAACAGGTCAAAGAAACATCATGAATGTTGAAAATAATACATTAACTAGACAGTTAAACCTCTGTTTTCCTTTTTCTTCGGAGTTGATCATTGTAATTTTGATCAACCATATCGATGTTGCATTAAATTTCCATCAGATTACACAAATCTAATCTGAACCACCACCAGCATCACCATTCTAATGTTACCACCGATTAGAGCCATCAATAATATCACCTGCCATCACCAAAAATCAGAACGGCTACTTAGCTTACTCAACGCCACAACCAATGTACTGTCTTCGACAAAACTAAAATAACACACGCCACCGTTATCGTGTTCTAGTTATTTGACTCCCACAACACGCAGTTAATTCACCTCCATCACTCACTACCATGTTATCAAAGCCCAAACTTTTGTGCTTGCATATGTGCATATGAGAGATCCAAAACCACTTTATTCTCCCCAGCTCTTTCATCAGCTGAGCTTTGTTGGTGCCCATTCTGCAGCATTCTCTTTATTATATCCATCCCGAAAGCAGAATCCACTGAACTGTTAAGGAGTAATTTCTCATAACACAAAGGCAACACATGCATCAACAACAATTTATCTTGCTACCTCAATTCAACAGGAGAACGGATTATTTGGTTGATGGCAAAACGAGAAAGCAGTAAAACAGATTACTACATTTGCTTATACACTATATTCTTTCATTTGCCCTTTTCTTAAATAAATTACTACAATTTCAGCTACTTATTACTATGGTTGGGGAAAGGTTCCACATCTAATCAGAAGTTGTGAATTCAGATTTCTTAATCATATGCAACCAATCAACCGTGTTCAGAGTTCAGACTACTAGTTATATGCAAATAGAGAAAACAATTATAAGAAAAGAAGATAACAAATTAAACCAAGAAGATGCATTATATAAAGATGATCTAGATGACCATTTACAAAGTTTAAATATAAAAAATTGTCAAATATGCTTACATGCACTTGTAATAACAAACATGTCTTTCGTAGCTTCCTTCTTCACAAACCCATGGATGAAGATGGATATGTCCAACATCTGGCAGGCCTTTTTGAGGCAATTTGTGAAATATCTCCAAAGCATTTCATCATTTCATTTTTACACAACCCATCATGAGGCTGTCATTTAAATTTGTAGTTCTCCAAGTACAAAACAATTTTGGTACTTCCAGACACTGCCATTCTTGCATATCCCATTAACCAAATATTATATGTAACTGAATCAGGTGCGACATTATAAAGTTTCATCTCATCAAACAGTTTCCACGCATCCCCAACTATATTTGATAGAAAAAGACTGGTTAACAAAGTGTTATATGTAAACACTGTTTTTTAATTCAAACCTAAATGCACAGAACTCAAAAATAAATAAATAAATAAATAAATCAAGCAGAGAGGTAAACAAGTATTCACCTGGTTCACTAAGGAGACGTTGAGTTTCCTATTTGGATCAACAAAAAACAGGTTCAACACACAACACATAATCATCAACAACAAAATCTTAATTTCACTGTCCAATCGACAAAAAATATCTCAATCTCAATGAAACTCCCTATATTACACAATCCATCCAATTAATAAGAAAGAGAATCGAGGAAATTAGATCATCAAACTGAAAGAATAAGTAATCCTTTCTATACAGACTTCAATTGACGAAATTGAATCGGATTTTTAAACGAAAGCGATCTGAGAAATAGAGAAACCGGTCGACATAGGGAGAAAGAGAGCGTAACCTTGATGATTCGTCGGGGGAGATTAATGTTAGCCATTTGTGAGATCGAATAGATGCAGTTGTTGCAGAGAAAAAACGCTGATAGGTTTTTTTTCTTACGACTTCTTTTCTAATAAACAAGAGTAAGAGAATTTAATAAGCTGAAGAGAGTGCAACAAAGTTTGTTTGATGCAAGGCTCACATAAATTGACGAATAATACTACGTTTACTAAGCATTTGTACTAATCTTTGTCTTTCCTCGTACTAATCTTGTCCTCTTTAGAACAAATTTCTTAAAAAAAATTCAAATTTTTAATGTTAGTGATTAGATTAGTACAAATTAGTTAGTATACGTAGTATTACTCTAATTGACTATCCTGCCCTTCTTCAGAACAAATTTCCTAACAAAACATACCGGTGGGTGAGAAATTATCATTTTAAAACTTAATGGGTGGGAAAGTATTATTTCGCTAAACCTTGGGTGGGAAAATGTTGTTCTGCCCTTTAAATTTTGTTGAAAGTACCCAACATGCACACTTATAAATAGTTTTTATAGTCAAGTGCGGCAATATTTGCCGTGTCAGCTTCTCGTTGACTTTTGGACAGGAAATGAAGGAAACAACTTTAGACATTCACGATGACTAGATCTACGATTATGGAAAATGGGGTTACATCTGGCATAACATTTTTGTCCGTTATTTTCTGAAGCAGTTCAACAACTTTAGTTGCTTTATCATTTTGTAAGAAATCTTGCATAAGAGTATTATATGTAATCACATCTAAAGCACATATTTTTCCCATATCTAATAACAAATCATACGCCTTCTCTACTTTAATTATCATTATGATCGCAAACGGACACGAGACAAGAGGTCTATATTGTATATGATAATACTGTCATTTTGGCCTAGTCTAGCTTCTTTGGACGAGACTGCAATCCGTCCAAGAAATACAGTAGCATCGGGTTCCATTGGGGGTAATATTACTTGCACTCTAACTAGATGAGAAATATGAGTTGATTTTGTGTTGATATTTGCATCTGCTGAAGGTGTCTTCAAACTTTATGGAGGTCTTACACTAGTTGGACTGCATTCTCATGTCATATCTGGATGAATTTTGAGAATCTTCTTCTATTAAAATGAGCATCATTTTGTCAAACTTATTTTTCCATCTGATATGAAATCTAGTAAGAGTAATGCTATGCGTACTCACGGATCTTACTAACCATCTTACTTACATTCGTTAAAATTACATATGGTACCTATACTATGCTTTATATTTACAAAGATTAGTAAGATGATTAATAAGATCCGTGAGTACTTATAGTATTATTGATCTAGCAAAGTTAAAGATGTTTGTGTGGAGGGAAACACGTAAAGAACTTCATTTTCAATCATCAAAGTTGATTTGACTTGCAGAGGGGGGAGAGAGAGAGAGAGAGAGAGAGAGAGAGAGAGAGAGAGAGAGAGAGAGAGAGATTTGATTGCATAAATGCAATATAAAAGAGTAATTGGAAGATGTGTAGGAAGATTTGGTGGCATTTTGTGAAACCTTTTGATGATAATAACTTTGGGTGCGTTTGGTTTATTATTTTGGATATGATTTTAGGAATAATATTGGGTAGTTAGATATGGGAGTATTACGAGATAAACTTTAAAAATTTATGAAAAAGCCCTTTGGTTTGCTAATTTAATTAAAGACCCTAATATATAAAATGACAAAAACACCCCCACCACCTGCAGTGCCAGATTCCGGCCACCATCGCCGGAATCTGGCCAAAAAATTTCGTTACGTAATGCGTCGCTAAGGCCTTTTCCGACCAGATCCACCACGGATATGGCCGAAAAAGGCCAGATCTACTGCCAAATGTTGCCGTCGNTCGAAATCCAACCAAACAAACCTAAACGCACATAACTCAAAATAGGGAGAAAGAGAGCGTAACCATGATGATTCGTCGGAGGAGATTAATGTTGGCCATTGCTGAGATCTCGATTCAGTAGTTGTAGAGAAAAAACGCTAATAGGTTTTTTTTCTTACGACTTCTTTTCTAATAAATAGAGAGAGGTAGAGAATTTAATAAGCTGAAGAGAGTGCAACAAAGTCTTATGCAAGGCTTATATAAATTGACTATCTTGCCCTTCTTCAGAACAGATTTTCCTAATGAAACATTCCGGTGGGTGAGAAAGTATCATTTTAAAAATTAATGGGTGGGAAAGTGTTATTTTGCCAAACCTTGGGTGGGAAAATGTTGTTCTCCCCTTTAAATTTTGTTGAAAGTACCCAACATGCACACGTATAAATAGTTTTTATAATCAAGTGCGGCAATATTTACCAACTTACCGTGTCAGCTTCTCATTGACTTTTGGACAGGAAATGAAGGAAACAACTTCAGACATTCACGATGACTAGATCTACCATTATGGAAAATGGGGTTACATCTGGCATCACATTTTTGTCCATTATTTTCTGAAGCAGTTCAACCTCTTTAGTTGCCTTATCATTTCGTAAGAAATATTGCATAAGAGTATTATATGAATTACATCTGGAGCACCTATTTTTTCCCATATCTAATAACAAATCATACGTCTTCTCTACTTTAATTACCATTATGATTGCAAATGAACACGGGACAAGAGGTCTATATTGTATATGATAATACTGTCATTCTGGCCTAGCCTAGCTTCTTTGGATGAGACTGCAATCCGTCTAAGAAATATAGTAGCATCGGGTTCCATTGGGGGTAATTACTTGCACTCTCACTAGATGAGAAATATGAGTTGATTTTGTGTTGATATTTGCATCTGTTGAAGGTGTCTTCAAACTTTATAAAGGTCCTACACTAGTCGGACTACATTCTCGTGTCATATCTAGATGAATTTTTGGAATCTTATTCAATTAAAATGAGCATCATTTTGTTAAACTTATTTTTCCATCCGATATGAAATCTAGTAAAGTTGAAGATGTTTGTGTGGAGGGAAACAGAGACACGTGAAGAACTTCATTTTCAATCATCAAAGTTGATTTGACTTGCAAAGAGAGAGAGAGAGAGAGAGAGAGAGAGATTTAAGTGAGATTTGATTGCATATATGCAGTATAAAGGAGTAATTGGAAGATATGTAGGAAGATTTGGATGAATTTTGAGAATCTTCTTCTATTAAAATGAGCATCATTTTGTCAAACTTATTTTTCCATCTGATATGAAATCTAGTAAAGTTAAAGATGTTTGTGAGGAGGGAAACATGTGAAGAACTTCAGTTTCAATCATCAAAGTTGATTTGACTTGCAGAGGAGAGAAAGAGAGAGAGATTGAAGTGAGATTTGATTGCATATATGCAGTATAAAGGAGTAATTGGAAGATGTGTAGGAAGATTTGTGGCATTTGGTAAAACCTTATGATGATAATAACTTTAATTTGGTGATTCTTTCATCTTGGAAATCAAGAAAATTCTCACTCAATTAATCAATCGTAATGTTAGATTGATAGCCTAATCTCATAATCTCGACATATCAACTCGTAAATTGATAAACGAGACTCATAACAAACAGATAAGACCTATTTTCAAGCTGACTAGTTACAAACCACAAAAGGATTGTAAGAAAAAAATTATGAAATTGAGTTATGAACTTAACATTACTCTCTAATCAAAAGGCTAAATTACCGAGTAGTAATGGTCAAGCCAATTGAGCATCAGACGAAAATATAACCAACTGGACCAAATTATTCAAGAACTAAATCATGAAACAAATGAATACAACATGCATTGACGAAAGTTTTTTTCTCTCTTCGAGGGGGAAATTGAGCACGGGAGCAAATGGTAATGCTTTTGCATAATCTTTACAACTTAAATAGTTTACAACAGTGCTATGTTTGTTAAACTGCCAGCAGCAGGTGCACAAAGGGCAATGTGCAGAAAATAAACTTATAGTTGGGTGACCAATTTCATAAATTCACCCTCCTAATAAATACAAATCTCAAACTTAGAAGAAAACATTTCTCCACTGTGGAGTGAGGAATAAAGAAGAAAAAGAATCAAAACTCTGACCGATACAAGATGAGTCGTGTCAGTCCTGTAATAGGGGATTGTTCAAACAATTAATCTTGAGATGGCATATATATAGCAATTCAATTAGCAATACTTCCAATGGCATATATATATCTTCCCCTCCTTGCAAAGCCCACTTATCATTGTAGTAAATGTCACCACATCAGGCTGCAAAGCTCTTTGAATCATCAATTCTAACAATCCATTAGCTTCCTCCATCTTCCCCTCCTTGCAAAGCCCACTTATCATTGTATTATACGTCACCACATTAGGCTGCAAACCTCTTTGACTCATCAATTCTAACAATCCATTAGCTTCCTCCATCTTCCCCTCCTCGCAAAGCCCACTCATCATTGAATTATACGTCACAACATTAGGCTGCAAACCTCTTTGAATCATTAATTCCAAATGCCCATTAGTTTCCTTCATCTTCCCCTCCTTGCAAAGCCTACTTATCATTGTATTATACCTAGGCTGCAAACCCTTTGACTCATATTTTCTAACAATCCATTAGCTTCCTCCATCTTCCCCTCCTTGCAAAGCCCATTTATCATTGTATTATACGTCACCACATTAGGCTGCAAACCTCTTTGAATCATCAATTCTAACAATCCATTAGCTTCCTCCATCTTCCCCTCCTTGCAAAGCCCACTTATCATTGTATTATACGTCATCACATTAGGCTGCAAACCTCTTTGAATCATCAATTCTAACCATTCATTAGCTTCCTCGATCTTCCCCTCCATGCAAATCCCACTTATCATTGTATTATATGTCACCACATCAGGCTGCAAACCTCTTTGAATCATTAATTCCAAATACCCATTAGCTTCTTCCATCTTCCCCTCCTTGCAAAACCCACTTATCACTGTATTATACATTATCACATTAGGCTGCAAACCTTGATCCACCATCTCTTCGTGTATCCTAAGTGCAATACTGGTATCACCTGTTCTACACAACCCGTTAATCAAAGTCCCACATGTAATCACGTTAGGCCTAACCCCAAACACAGCCGTTTTCTTGAACAATTCCACAGCCTCCATACTCCTATTCTCCAAACACAAACCTTTAATCAAAGAATTCAAAGTCACAACACCAGGGCTAGAACCCCACCTCAAAATCCTCCCCAAAACAACAAAACCATCACAAACTCGACCCACATTGCAAAAGCAATGAATCAAAATAGTCAAAGTAATTAAATCTGGCAACAACCCCATTGAATCCACTCGCTTGTAAAGCAAATTAACATCTTCATAAAACTTTTTCTTAGCCAGTGCTCCAAACAACTGGTTGAATGATGAAATTGGTGGTTTGGGTTGCATATGAATCATGTATCCAAAGAAATATCGTGCTTCATCAAGAGTGACATTACCTTCTTTACAATCATTTTTCAGGAATTTCTCAAGTTGGGTTACTTTAGTACTAAATGTTGTGGAATAGTTGTAGTCACTTTACCTGGTTTAGTGAATAAAGAAGGAGAAGAAGAAAAACGACGAATCAAGCTTTTGAGCAACATTTCAGTTGCGTCGTTTGTGGATTGTCTAGGTTTCAAGCTAAACATTCATCTTAATTATAATTGAAGATGGGGCTTAATAGAAAGAGTAATGATTTAGTCACCGAAAGTAGTGCACCGAATTCATGCACTGAATGACGTGGCACAATCTTGACCGTCGATTAATATTAAGTTATAATTAATCGATAGTCAGGATTATGCCACATCGTTCTGTGCATTAATTCGGTACACTACTTTCGATGACTGTATTATTTTCCTAATAGAAAATAGGTGGGGGCCACTTAGCATCACTCTTTAATCTTTATCGGTTGGAAAATAGTCTTTGTACATCTAGCATTTCTCTTATCAGTTTATATATATGATTAATATTTTTTTATTAATATCATTTACACCTTAGAAGAAAATAGGTGAGGGAATGTTGTATTACTGAGAATGTTATATTAATTAAATGATAGATTACCTTAAGGGTGTGTTTGGTTCAGGGAATGTTGGATTACTGAGAATGTTATATTAATTAAATGATAGATTACCTTAAGGGTGAATTTGGTTCAGGGAATGTTGGATTACTGAGAATGGTGGATTACTAAAAAGTTAAATTATCTTAAAGATTACTAGGAATCCTTAGGAAAATGTGTTTGGTTAGTTGGAATAAATTAGTGGATATGTTATATTAATATGTTTGGTTGGGAGAAATAAATTTGTGAATACGTTATTTAAATTACTAAATTGCCCTCTTTTACAATATTAATATAATATTATTTTTATTATTAATTTTTGAATAATTTTTATAACCCCCAACATATCAAATTTAGCTAAAACAGCCCCGCTTATATAAAACTTTAATTTATAACAAAATCACCCCCACCACCCAAGCCATTGCTCGCCATCGCCATTCACCGCTAGAAGTCATCTGGAGTCACCGTGAGTAGCCAAGAGACACTAGGAGGCACTGATATGGTCGTTTCAGGACATATTGATGGTAAAAAATGCCATATCAGAGTAGATCTAGCCATTAATAGGTTGGAATAGATCTGCCCATTAACGGCCATATTTTATTTATGGCCAATAAAGGCCATGGATCTGGCCAGAATAGATCTAGCCATTTCCAGCCAAATCTACCCTAATATGGACATTTTCGGCCAGCAATATGGCTAGAAACGACCATATTGGAGCCTCCCAGTGACAATGGGCTACTCACGGTGATTTCCAACGACGGTCGACGATGGTTTGGCTGGCGACAAGTGGGTAGGGGTGATGGGTTGGGTGGGCTGCAATTAGTTTTGAATTCAAGGGTAATTTTTCCCAAAAAATTAATTAATTGGGGTTAAATAGTAAAAGTCAAATTCATGTAAATTGATTTAAAAATAAGGGTACTATTGTCCTAAAATTTTATTAATAAGGAATAGAATTATTGTTAGTGTATATTAGTGTATGCCCTAGAAACCATTCGTGTTGTCGGTTTCAGAGTATTTTGTCTTGTATCTATATATATCATAAATAATAGAAGAAAGAGTTCTTCAATTCATATATGTAAATTGCTTCCTTTATTCAGTCATGCATTTAAAATAAAGTATGTATATGAATTGTCCAGATGATTCATTTAATAGGTAAATGAATNTTTTATTTATTATGAGCATGAGATATTTTTTATATAATTAAAAATACTAAATAAATTAAAAATTTATGGAAAATAAAAATAATTAATTTTTTTTCCCTAAAAAAATTGGTCCGGGCTGGACCCAGAGCCACCCCTTAGCCCTGCCCCTCATATCTTATATATATATTTTTTCCCTTCATGACATATTTTATTTTACACTTGACTTATTTGTAGACTTTCTCTTGTTATGTATAGTTTTTTTTTTCCCCATTATTTAATCTTTTTTTTAACTTGAATGTCGATAATATTCCTCGAAACATACATGTTAGAATTTTAATTAATTAAAATTCATTGCCCTAAATTACTATTTGGTCTTTCACTTTTATATATATTAGTTTTATATAAAAATTTAAACTGTTGAGTAGTTTTCAACAGTCATCCCCAACAGTTGTCTTTGATGGAAAGACTTATACGTGCTTTAAAAAGGGAACATTTACAAGTCCCCAATACACGCAATTATTCTGATTCCCAAAAACCATCGTTTTGAGAATTGTAGTGCATTGGAAGAGTTTGTAACTTTTGAAGAATACAACAATAAAATTGCTATAGCTGGAGGTTAGTGGTTAAATTAAATTTCCATGAATATATGAACATGTATATGAATAATGATATGAATATATACATGTTGATCTTGAGTGATTTACATTACTAGAATTAACATGTGATATCAGAGCTTTCTTTTAATCTCTGCCTGACATGTAATTGTTTGTTGTAAATTTAGAGAATATTGCATAAAACTGGGAATTTTTATTTTTAAACCTGTAACTTTAATAGGACATAACTTCTTGAATAAATCAAATATGTTTTCGATTTTGGTCTCATTGGAATCCTTGTTGAAAGAGCTTTCCAACGATATATTATTTGTCAAAAACGGATTGTGGTTGCAAAGTTATGCTAGTTTAAAGTTTCGGTTAAAATTACCATTTGGGTGATTTCGGTAGCCATTTATGGTGCCGATTTGGGATGAAATGTCATTTGGGATGTCACCTACATAGGCCATATGTACACATTCAAGTTTCCCCTCTAAAACGCTAGAAATATAGCCAGAATCAGGCTATTTAAAAAGGCAGAAAACAAGTTTAAAAGTTGCAGAAATCGGGTTAAGAAGACCAGGTCAAACCGGGTCAACGATCAAACTGACCCGATCAAGGATAAAACGAGTCAAACTGACCCAGTCAAAGTCAAAGGTCAAACCGACCCGATCAAATGCACCCAATAACCCAATGGGTCAAACCGACCCAGTCAACACTGTCAACGGTTCATATTAGGTCAATGAACTGGCCAACCAGTCAGACAGGCCAATGAATTGGCCAATCAGTCAGACTGGTCAATGTTCGGTCAACGAGTCAAACAGGGTCATCGAATCGATCAAATAGGCTAAACCGGTTCAACAACTAGGTAAAAGGTTAACTCGACTCGGTCAAATGGTCAAACTGACTTGCGTTGATTTATGGCGCGTGTGCGCACATGAAGGTGCGCATGCTTGAGTCAGACACGTGAAAGAGGTGTGTTTTGGCACATGCAGGCGCGTGGGAGGGCTGTGAAGGCGCGTGAAAGGGTGTGTTATCTTTTGGAGGCGCGTGACGGCGCGTGAAGACACGTGGCTGCAAGTGGTTGACTCACGGTGGCGCGTGGGAGTCGATGACAGCTCGTGTGATAGTTTTTATGTCATGTATTAGTCTGTTATGCATGAATATTGTGTTATCCTTGTTTTGATTTATGTTATGTTGTATTATATGCAACAATTCATGTTATAACAATATGATGTTTTTTGATTATATATATTTGATTAATTTAGAGTAGCCACAACATCTAAGTTATGATAATATATGCATTAAGTAATATTAATTATGATCATATCGTTTTATAGTTAATCATGTTGATATAATCATTTTACCCCCAGGGAATGTTATATTTTCATGATTAATTAGGATGAAATAGAAATTATTTTTATTTCTTAAGTAGCCTACAAGTATTATGAAATATTAATAATTTCTAGTTTCATCATTAAAGGATAATGAATCATAATATGTAATGTCTTTATCCACAGGGAGATTTTATGATATGTCGATTCATTTATGATTTGTTATTTGTTTTACATTGGTAAACTTATAACTGTTGTTGATGGTTTGTGCCTCATAATTTATTTAGTAAGCATATCTATTGATATACCTACAGTTGATCAAACTTTGATGATGGTTGATGATAAAGTTCCTTATTTAAATGATGATAACTACAAATCCTGGAGGGAGGTTGTCCTTCTTCATTTATGGTGCATTGATCTTAACTATACTCTTCGTAAGGAAGAGCCACCTAAACCTACAAATACTAGCATTCAGGCTGAGATTGTTTTGTATGGATGGTGGGAGCGATCCAACCGTTTAAGCATGATTTTTATCAAATCTCACATTATGAGTAGTATTCGTGGGTCGATACCGGAGTGTGAGAATGTCAAGGATCTGATGGATGTAATTCATGCTCAGTTTGAAACATTAGATAAAGCATTATGCAACACCCTAATGAGTATATTAACATCCATTATGAAAATGAGGGACAACACTACTCAATTGAGATCCCTTCAGATGGTGATTAATGATGATTTCTTGGTGCATTATGTCCTGAACTCTCTCTCATCTCATTATACTCCTTTCAAGATATCTTATAACACATAAAAGGCTAAATGGTCAATCAATGAGCTTTTAACCATGTGTGTTCAAGAGAATGAGAGATTGCTTCAGGAAGTGAATGAAACTGTACATCTGGTGACAGGAAATGTCAAGCACACTTCAAACAAGAATAAGAAGTGGAAGGGAAAAGGCAAGTTGCATGAGGTTACGAGCAAAGGAAGTAAGGACAACACCAAGCATTTCTTCTATAAAAAGAAGGGACACATGAAGAATGATTGTCCTAAAAGAAAGGCCTGGCTTGACAAGAAAGGTAATCTCACATCTCTTGTGTGTTATGAATCTAATATGATCTGTGTTTCTCATAATGATTGGTGGATTGATTCTAGTTCTACAATCCATGTTTCTAATACCATATAGGGTTTTCTGGATCAAAAGAAACCAATGGGAAGTGAATGCAGCATCTATTCAGGAAACAGGATGTGTTCACTTGTTGAAGCTGTTGGAACATAAACTTATTTTAAACACTAATTTTATTTTGGATTTGGGACGAACCTTTTACATTCCTAGTTTTTCTAGGAATTTAATTTCAGTTTCTGAACTTGTACCTTGTGGATACTCTTTCAACTTTTATGGTAGTTCTTTTAATTTAATTAAGAACTCATCTATTGTTGGAAATTGTACTATGATTGAAAGTTTGTTAAAAATTCATTTAAGCGATACTGTTCGTTATAGTTTAACGACTTCACATGTTGGTAATAGTATTAAACATACTGTTATGAGTGAAAACTCTTCTTTTCTATGGCATAGGAGATTTGGACACATCTCCATTGATAGGATTAAAAGGTTGGTAAGTGCTGGAGTTCTTAAAACTCTTGACTTTACTGACTTTGATACTTGTGTAGACTGCATTAAGGGAAAGCAGACTAACAAATCCAAGAAAGGTGCTAGGAAGAGTTCTGAACCTTTAGAGATCATACACACATATATTTGTTACCTTGACATGAACTCTAGTGCTAAAAAATATTTTATCACTTTTATTGATGATCACTCACAATATATGTATCTCTATTTGCTTCATCACAAAGATGAACCATTGGATGCTTTCAAAATATATAAAGGAGAAGTAGAGAAACAATGTGGAAAACAAATTAAGATCATGAGATCTGATAGAGGTGGTGAATATTATGGTAGATACATTGGTACAAGACAAGCACTTGGTCCATTTGTTAAATTTCTTCAAGAGTAAGGTATTGTGGCTCAATACACCATGTCTGGCACACCATCTCAAAATGGTGTAATGGAATGGAGAAATAGAATATTAATGGATATGGTACGGAGTATGCTGAGTAACTCCAAACTTCCTCATTCTTTGTGGATTGAAGCTCTTAAAACTGCAGCGTATATATTAAACCAAGTTCCAACTAAAGCGGTTCCCAAAATGTCATTTGAGTTATGGAAAGGTTAGAAACCAAGTTTAATTCATTTACATGTCTAGGGTTGCCCAGTTGAAGTTAGAGTTTATAATCCACAAGAACGAAAGTTAGATCTTAGGACTATTAGTGCATATTTTATTGGATATGCAGAAAAATCCAAGGGATATAGGTTTTATTGTCCGAACCATTCTAGTACAATTGTTGAATCAAGAAATGTCAAATTTCTTGAGAATGACGTGGTCAGTGGGAGTGATCAACTCAAAGACTTAGTCCTTGAGAAAATTGATGTTTCAGATAATGCTCCTACATCAAGTAAAAGATTGGTTGTTTATCCAAATAGGGTGAACAATGAGGAACCAATCAATCAAAGTCCACGTTCTGATGAGATTGTTTTAGAAGATCATTCTGAACAACCTCTGCAATAGGAGGAACAACCAGTTGTGTAACAGTCTCAACAAGAGACTGTTGATACAACATTAAAGAGATCTACTAGAATAAAGAAATCAGCAATTCCTACTGACTATGTAGTGTATATGCAAGAGTCTGACTGTGACATAGGTGTTGAGGATGACCTAAACACGTTTATACAAGCTATAGACAGTAGTAAATTTAAGTTATGGTATAATTCCATGATTGACAAGATGAATTCTATGATGGATAATAAAGTTTGGGACCTTGTTGAGTTGCCTACTGGAAAGAAACCTATTGGTTGTAAATGGGTATTTAAAACTAAAAGGGATTCTTTGGGCAACATTGAGAGATACAAGGCTAGGCTTGTTAGCAAGGGGTTCACGCAAAGGGAAGGGATAGATTATAAAGAAACTTTTTTCTAGTTTCTAAAAAGGATTCCTTCCACATCATTATGGCATTAGTTGCCCATTTTGATTTAGATTTATATCAAATGGATGTGAAAATAGCTTTCCTCAATGGAGATTTGGAGGAAGAGGTTTATATGAAACAACCTGATGGGTTCATTTCAAGTGATGGTGAGCATTTGGTTTGCAAGCTAAAGAAGTCCATTTATGGACTTAAATAAGCCTCCCGACAGTGGTATTTAAGACTTCACACTGTTATCTCTTCATTTGGTTTTGTAGAGAATGTCATGGATCAATGTACAAGGTCAATGGGAGCAAAATCATCTTTCTTGAGTTATATGTAGATGATATTTTGCTTGCAACCAATGATTTGGGATTGCTGCATGAGGTGAAACAATTTCTCTCTCAACATTTTAGTATGAAAGATATGGGTGAGGCGTCTTGTTTCATTGGCATTAAGATTCATAGGGATAGGTCCCAACATGTTTTAGGACTATTTAGGAAGCCTATATTAATAAAATTCTTGAGAGATTTAAGATAAAGGATTGTTCACCCAGTGTTGCACCCATTGTTAAGGGTGACAGGTTTAATCTGAACCAATGTCCTACACTTGAGATTGAAAAGGAACAAATGAAAACTATCCCTTATGTTTCAGCTATTGGAAGCCTAATGTATGCTCAGGTCTGTACTAGACCTGACATTGGTTTTGCAGTTGGCATGTTAGGAAGATATCAAAGTAATCTATATTTAGACCATTAGAGAGCTACAAAGAAGGTCATGAGGTATCTTCAAGGAACTAAAGGTTTCATGCTTACTTATAGACGGTCTGACATTTTAAAAGTTGTCGGATATTCAGACTCAAACTTCGCTGGCTGTGTTGATTCTTGAAAATCAACATCCGGATATGTTTTTAAGCTAGCCAGAGGTGCTATATCTTGGAGAAGTACTAAACAATCTTTGGTTGCCACTTCTACCATGGAAGTTAAGTTTGTTTCCTGTTTTGAGGCTATTACACAGGGTATTTGGTTGAGAAGTTTCATTTATGGGCTTGGAGTTGTTGAGTCTATCTTTAGGCCAATAAGGTTGTATTGTAACAATTCAGTTGTTGTGTCCTTTGCTAAGAATAATAAGAGTGGAAGTCGAAGTAAACACATTAACATTAAATACTTAGCAATAAGGGAGCACATTAAAACCAAAGAAGTGCTCATTGAACACACACACACACCAAGCATATGATTGCTGATCCTCTGACAAAAGGCATGCCACCAAAGACGTTCAAGGATCATGTAATACAAATGAGACTACGTCCTACTTTGTCACTGTGAGAGGTAATACTTTCATTCTCTGAAACTTTGTAATTTAGTTTGTTTTCTCTTTTAAGTTGTATACATTTTGGTTGGAGACAAACAAACTTTCTGGAGGACCTAGAACAAACATTTGAGGTTTGTTCATAAAGTAATATTCCACATTTAAGCGTTTATTTAGAAGAAGAAAATTGCATAGTAATACATAGAAGGTAATACTCATTTAAAAAGGACTTACCGCTATGATTCATGCAATTCTATTTTTCTAATTAAACATAAAGAATATAAAACTACTATGTTATGGATTGTGTAATAAAAGTTTGGACCAAGTGGGAGAATGTTAGAATTTTAATACCAAGTGGGAGAATGTTAGAATTTTAATTAATTAAAATTCATTGCCCTAAAATTACTTTTTGGTCCTTCACTTATATATTAGTTTTATATAAAAATTTAAACTATTGAGTAGTTTTTAGTAGTTATTCCCAGCAGTTGTCTTTGATGGAAAGACTTATGTTGCTTTAAAAGGGAAACAGTTACAGGTCCCCAATACACACAAGTATTCTGATTCCCAAAAACCATCATTCTGAGAATTGCAGTGCATTGGAAGAGTCTGTAACTTTTGAAGAACACAACAACAACAAAAAAATTGCTATGGCTGGAGATTAGTGGTTAAATTATTTTCCTTCCGCAAATTTCCATGAATATATGAACATGTATATGAATAATGATATGAATATATACATGTTGATCTTGAGTGATTTACATTGCTGGTTTTAACAATACATACAATTTAATCTGCACTTGTTGAATAATATTCCACATTGAATCTTTATCATCACCGAACTTGCTATGAATCATGTAGAATTGTAAATGCTTTCTTCAGATTACTATTTTAACCTTATACAAAGTTAAATCTAACTTATTTCCACCCAACTTACTCGCATCTTAGCAAAATAGTTGTATAGCATTGAATGTAACTTTTTCTTTAATTTCTCTACAAATAATTTCACCTTCCCCAAGAGTAGGGGTGAGCACAAGTAGCGAGTAAAACTGAAAACTGTGGATAGAACTGGAACCTATCCAGAATCGACACTATGTTTTGGTTCCATTTTATTGAAACTGACACTGTGCGGTTTCGATTCTGATTCTTGTTGGTTTCAGAACCAAAACCTATGAAAAGAAGTTGAAGTAGGTGCCCGGCTTGGAAGCTTGGAACCTGTTTGTGTTTTGGTTTTGATTGAGAAATTTTATGTGAATTGTGATGAATTGATCAAATTCAAGTGTTGTCTAGAGATTAGAGGATTTATGAGTCATATTGGACACAAATGAATGAGTACTCAAAAGTTAAAAACTACTAAATGTAGGTTTTCTTAATTTGTTAAGGGTGTATTTGTAAACTTTTAAGGTATTTTTGTCATTTTTTAAACTAATAGAGAGGTAATAATTTTTTATAGGGTACCCGGGTAAGGAACCGGAACCTGCATTTCAGGTTCCGATTCCTTGAATATAAGAACCAGAACCGACAGGTTCCGGTTCCAGTTCTTTTTTTTGGGAACCTGTACTGTGCGGTTCCCGTTCCCATAAAAAATGCAGGGTACCCAGAACCGCTCACCCTACCCAACAGTTAAAAAAGATACTCTATTTGTTATTCTTTGTATAGTTTATTAAGTATTTTTTTTTTTTAAAAAAAAAATTCAACCCTTCCCAAAATAATTTTTTGGTTTCTTCCATGGGTTGAGGTCGGCCACGGCAACATTGTGTAACAATGTCATAGTCTTAAACAACAATGTTATGAATAGCCATTGTATCTAAACTACGTTTTGGAGTTGTAATTTATCTAATAATATAATTATTGTTTGTGGTAATACTACTTTAAGTATATCATGATAACAAAAAATTATAATTTATCAAATAATTGCACACCAATGATACTTAGCTGAGATTCTCAATGTTTAAAGCTAAATATTAATTACTTATAATTTACTAAATCAATTAATGTTCTCTAATTAATTTTGTTCTAGCCATTCCTCCCCTTGAATAAAGACAAAGCAATATGTGAGAATTGCAGGCTTAGTGGCAAAAAATTTATTAACCCATGTGGAAATCACTTAGCTTCAAATAAAATTGATAATATTCATTAGATGAGGTTGAGAAGAGAGATACATTGTAATGGTCAACAAAAGAAACAAATTTATTAAGAAAATTCAAAGCAGATAAAAGCTTACGACCTCATTTCTCTCCTAATTAGTAAATATGGGTATGGCAAAAACAGAGTATAGAAATTTTACGATTTTAATATGATAAATTGTGAAAAATATGTTTGTAAAAATTTAGGAATAATTTTGATACTGTAATAATTCGTGATTAAAACTTCTAAAGTATATAGTTCATGAATAATACGTTTGATCTAATAATATACGAAAATTTGTGAATTATACATGAATTATACAGATGGACATATAATTCACATTTTGTTTGCGAATTTACTAACTAGGATTTCTCCCGGGCGTAATTGCCTCTCGCTGTACTTATAAAACTTGTATTTTTGGCGATGACAAAAATAATCTAGAAGAAAAATTAAGGGGAGAGATAAATAAACAAGAGAAAGAAAGGAGTGAAATAAAAAAGAATGATATGAGTACGGAAATGTTTCAAGCATTGCGCAAGCAAACGAAGCTGAGATCAACAGTGTCAATACTCTAAGGATTCTGGAAAGAGGAAGCCCAGCTATGAGAACTGAAATTACGGCCATGGACAGAAAAAAAGCCAGAGAATTAAATGTCAAACAGAATAACTGAAACAAAGAACCCTGAATCATATGCCCTGCATTTTGTGGTGATGGCGCTTGACCGCGCAAGATGAGGGTCATGTTTGTTTTTTTACTGGTAACAGTGTTGTTTTGATTGCTGCCATCTTCATCTTGATCTTGCCAAAGTCCTCCGGCGGGGCTGAGTGCAGCTTGATAGGTGGCTGTGGCAATTAATATAGCCACCACAAGCACTGTGTTTCGGACTTCATTAGGAATATTATCTGTGGTTAGGTAACCAAGTCCCAACACTTTCATTAGTTTTTCCTCTAAAAACGAGGTGAAAATCCTTGATAGTGTTGCACAAATAGATTGAGGCGGAAGATGTTCAGATGCTGTTTTAGCTTTAGCACCTAGTAGAATTCGTAAGATATTATTAGTTTCCGCAACTTCTTCATCTAATGAAACTTGGGGTTTGTTGGAGATCATGTCCAAAGCTGTCAAACCTTAAGAGTTCTTTTCATTTATTTCCATATGTGTAATCAACAGCTCCACCGCCTTTATTATTTAGGAGATAAGAACAAACTAATTAGAAGCTAGCTTAATCATATTTATGTAAAGAAAATGAAAAGACAGAGTGGTTATTTACCTCAGTTTGATTTTCAGATATTGCGGTATGCAACACATTGTTTCCTTGTTCGTCCTTGCAGCTCAGGATTTCCTCTTTGTCGTTGCGTCGAAGCCATTTTAACAAGAATTTAAGAGCCGTGAAACTCCTGCTTTTGATGGCCACATGGACAGCAGTTTCAGATTTAACCGTCAAATCTTGGATTGATGATGGACAAACATACAAAAAGTCCTCTAAATTAGCAACATCGTCTAGTTGAGCTGCGTAGTGCAAAGGAGTAATCATCCCCTTTGATTTGATACGGACAAGCTCACTGTCAATCTGTATGAGCCATGTTACCAGTTCCTGGTACTTCTTCTCACACCCTTCCATTTCCTTGTCCTTTTCTTCCAAAGCCAAATGAAGGGGGCTACGCCCAAGATGGTCTCGCTTACAAACATATGAAGGCTTTAAGTTTACTATTTCCTTTGCGAATTGGATCCTTCCCTCTCTTACAGCTGTGTGTAAGGGAGTACTCAAAAATGCTTTCTCATCATTGCGCTCCAAAACAAGAGGATCCTCCTCAAGTATTGAAAATAATGCATCCACATCTCCTTTTACGGCAGCACGCTGCAGCCTTTGCAACCTCTCCTCCACGGCTTTCTGCAACCTCTCATCCATGACCTAAGGCACTCATTCACAATTTATACTTCAGTTATAGAAGTCAAATATCAACTTTTAGCGCTATGATGAGGAACATATAAAAGCATTTGTCATATATTTATAGGGAAAAGTGAAACCTCACTCAAAGTTTCTCTCTAGAAGGAGAAAATCTACTCTCTGATGTCATGAACTTGACATCAGCTTCCTTACAGTGTAAACGCATATAAAAGTCTACACAGCTCTATCATAACTTGAGAGGCTTTAGCGGCCGTCCCACATTACTCGACCATAACTTCGTGGGGCAGAGACACAGGATTGGGACAGGGCGCCCGGCCGCGCACCGGTTCAAGTACTCGCACGTGTTGACAGCGACATGAGGCGGGGCCAGGCCCGTGAGAGTTTCGAAGGTCTGCAACGGACCCTGTTTGTGGCACATGCGGTTCGTGCACTCTCTGATCTCTTTCAACTCTGCTATGACTTTGATTCCGCCATTTATCCGAGTCTCTGTTCTTCCAAATTTTTCTCACTCACTCGAACGAAATGAATGGGCGAATGCTGTTGACAAGTTGAATAAAAAGTTTTACTCCTACGTGGACACTTTCAAATTTCTATATATAATTTACTTCAAAAGTATCGGGTTAGTATGAGTTCAATCACAATCTCTAGATTCTGACGTATTTCAAAGATGACAAACTAGTAGCCAAGGATTTCCAGGCTGCATCCGAATCAAGTGAGCAGGCGCCGGACGAGTCTAGCTGTTTTAGCCCATACAATAGCAGTATAATGTCACACTGACATCTATTACAATGGTAAAAGAAAAAAAAATTATTAAGAAAATTCAAGCCCAGTAAAACTTGCAGAATAGAATGTTATCACATCTGAGGTGATGATGGTGCTAATAGTCAATGACGAAGTCATGATTCTGTTTTAGAGGGGGTAACTTAAAAGAAAAAAAATTAGAATATAAAATTTTTTTGATTAAAGAAATACAAAATATTGACCATATAGATTTAACATAGGAGTTATAGATTCATTTTTAATTTTATTTTGAGTAGATGAAGATAATTTCGTGAAAATAAAGAAAAAAAATCAATTTCAGAATTATTAAAAATCATGGTTGTTTTGTTATTGTACTATATAAAAAAAAAAAAAAAAAGGTTAAAAATATTTGAGGTTCAAAGAAAAAAAAAAGTGATGGCATTATGGTTTGATACTTTTTCATAAAATAAAATAAAGGGTGTTTATTGTTGAAATCACAAAATAGAATGGTTACTATTGGTCATAGTCAACCTTTAGTAGTTTGAGGAAGGTACAGATGGCACAACTGAAGACGTGGATAATTTTCAGCGTCAAAGAGACTGGTAGTACTGTACAACTCTGTAGTGGTAAGTATAGGAAGTGGCTACGAGCACTGATTATGAACCCGGCTGGTTGAACCATTTAACCGTGACCCGCACCCCTCACCAAGTTGGATTTTCAGTGAGTGAATAACCAAAAATCGCAAAATAATGTTGCCAAAAAAAGCTGCTTGTTGTTGTCGGCAATTGGAGAGGCAAACTTTGGGGGGCGGGGGGCAGGGGGCGGGTTTGGTCAGGAGGCTGAGGGGAGTGTTTTCGTAGTAATAGGTTGTCATCGCAAGAAAGAGGCCCTATTTGCCTATGCCAACAGTGGTATTTTTGCAAGATTTCAAACTTATAAGGATTTACATGTCATTTTTAGAGGTATTTTTGTTAGATTTCAAACCTTTGGACACCCAAGACTCAGTGGCCTGGCCGAGTCACTGCACAGGTAAGGTTTCTAATCACTAGCTACAAGGATTCCGAATTGAAATTACCGATGCTTTAAAAATTGAACCGTTGGTTAAACCGATTAAAGGGTTGGTTCCCAGGTTGACCAATTTGACCAGTCCAACCGGTCAATCTGACTGGTTTTCATCAAACACATCCTTAAAAAATTACCATCAGTCCCTACCAATTTGAAATCTAGCAAATGCACCTCTAAACATTACGCATAAATACCTATAAGTTTGAAATAAAGCAAACACACCCCTACAAGATCTATAATTTTTTTTTCTCTTTTTCCTTCTTTTTTTCTTTTTCTCCCGCTTTTTCTCTTTGTCTCCTCTTCGTTTGCCCAGATAGTGGCGTAGGCCATTTCCCCTTTTCTGGCTGTTTTCTCACCCAAAATCACCCCCGTCACAACCACTGAAACCCCCACCCTCTCCTTTTCAAAACAATATATTTTATCCTCTCTCATCACTCGCCGATCACCAGCCACGACAACCTCATCGAGCAACTGTCATTTACCAATTCTGACCATTTTGAGCGGCGACAACCCTAACCACCACCCTCAGACTCACCAGCTACTCACCTACAAAACCTCCAAAGTTCTCAAGCCATTCCACCCACATATCACAGCAATCACAAGCTAGGGTTTCACCATTTCTTGGCCAAATTTCGGAGATTCCAAGGACTAAACTCAATCCGACACCACTTCCCAACTCATTGTGATCCACCTTCATATCCCCTAACCCCGGTTCTTGTTTGCTCGCCGAACGTCGGTCGAGAGTCGGCGGTTTGGTCAGGAGGCTAAGGGGAGTGTTTTTATAGTGATAGGTTGTCGTCACAAAAAATATGACCTATTTGCCTATGCCGACAGTGGTGTTTTTGCAAGATTTCAAATCTATAAGGACTTAAATGTCATTTTTAGGGGTATTTGTTAGATTTCAAACCTTTGGACACCCAAGACTCAGTGGCCTGGCCAAGTCACTGCAGGATCAGGTTTCTAATCACTAGCTACAAAGATTCCGAATTGAAATTACCGATGTCTTAAAAATTGAACTGCTGGTTAAACCGATTAAGGGGTTGGTTCCCAGGTTGACCAATTTGACCAGTCCAATTGGTCGGTCTAACTGGTGTGCATCAAACACATCCTTAAAAAATTACCATCAGTCCCTATCAATTTGAAATTTAGCAAATATGCCTCTAAAAATTACGCATCAGTCCCTATATTAGAAATAAAGCAAACACACCCCTGCAACATCTATAATTTTTTTTTTTTCTCTTTTTCCTTCTTTTTTTTCTTTTTCTCCCACTATTTCTCTTCGTCTCCTATTCGTTTGGCCAGATAGTGGCGTATGCCATTTCCCCTTTTCTGGCTATTTTCTCATCCAAAATCACCCCCGTCACAACCACTAAAACCCTCATTGTCTCCTTTTCAAAACCATACATTTTATCCTCACTCATTACTTGTCGATCACCAGCCATGGCAACCTTGTCGAGCAACTGTCCTTTACCAATTTTTGACCATTTTGAGCGATGACAACCCTAACCGCCACCACCCTTAGACTCACCAGCTACTCACCTACAAAACCTCCAAAGTTCTCAAGCCATTCCACCCACAGATCACCAGCAATCACAAGCTAGGGTTTCACCATTTCTTGGCCAAATTCCAGCGATTCCGATGACCAAACTCAATCCGACACCACCTCCCAACTCATTGTAATCCACCTTCAAATCCCTCTAACCCTGATTCTTGTTTGCTCGCCAAATGTCGGTCAAGAGTCGCCTCCAACCACGGTGATTTGAATTGTGGTGGTGTGGGATTGATCGGATTTTCTACTAATTTTTTATTGGTTTTGGCTTCCTAGTGTTGTGTGTTCTTTTGTTTTCTTGGTCGACGGCACCTCCCCATTGACTAAAACTCTGGCCATGGAAATTTGGGAATTTGTTTTAATCGATTTTGGTAGAAAATCGGTTGGACCAGTGGTTCACCATAGTAACACCAGTCAAACAGCAGGTCAAAACGGGTTAACTCCTATCTCCAATTTTCGATCCTGACTGGCCCGTTTTAGTGGTCTATTCCTGGTTCAACCTGTTAAACCAACAGGGCTAGACCGGTTTTAAAATAGAGGAAATTACTCGTAAACAAAGCAAAAAATACAAAGGGCATCCTCAAAATTCTTTCATTTTCAGGGGCCCAATAGAACTAGATAATTACAAGTGCCATCTTTAAATTCTTTCATTTTCAGTTAACAGCTAGCGTTTGGAATTTGCTCACTCCGATTCACACCACAAGAGGAAGATGGGACCATCCCATAAATGTTGTTAAGGGTTTGTTGTAAGTTCTTTTATCCTTGTATTTGATGTGATATTTTATATTTTATTTATCTTCTGTCTTATTGTTTATATGTCAATATCATAACAAAATGAAAATAATGATTATAACTATCAAAAGATCTAAGATAACTTTTTTAATTTTGAAGTGATATAGGGGGCATTTTGTTATCAAGAAGGAGAAATCCCAGAAAATCAAAAGTTGATTTTAAATTTGCATATAAGTAGTAAAACATAAAAAACTGTATTATATAATATTNACAACCAACTCGATTAAGGGCGAAAGAGGAAACAATAACAACGTACCTCAAGCGGGGCGTTACAGAAAACACACAAGGCACCAGCTCAAGGTAAAGCTATCAGCAGGGCCGGCTTAAGGGGTAGGCAGGTGAGGCACCTGCCTACTGCCTAGGGCCCCAAAAAAATGGGGGCCCAAATTTTTTATAATTTATTTATTTATTTATTTTTTAATATCTTACAAAAATGAAAATGATTTATAATTTCTTATCTAAGCCAAGGGGCCCTAAAAAAAAGCTATAAAAGCCCAAATTTATTATAAACTTTTTACATATATTCCCACCCAAAGTTTAACAAAATGGCAAGTTTATACCTCTAGTTTTATATATTCTAGTTTACACCCCGAAATTAACACATTGAATCTCTTTTAACAATGGAAGACTAAAATAGTCATTTACATATCTCAAATTACTCACCTCCAATTCAATCCCAAAGTTTGGCATTCACATAAATCATCTCCAGCCCTCTTCTGCCGCCAGTGTTTTGGAGTTGATTTCGGTCAATTTTGGTTCCGGTCGATTTTCTCACCAAAATCGACCGAAATCATCATTTTATCATTTCCCAACCTCGATAGCCCTCGATTTGAGTAATTTTTTATGAATCTTG